TTGTAACAAGGTCATGATGTTTTTTGCACAATGGAACACTATAGATAAGTATGGCTTGATTGTGAATTTGATGGACCCAGGGCCTTGGAATAAAGCATGAGCTTTATCGCATCAAATGTTGACATTCTTTGTTAAACCGATTTGTTTTTAATTTTGAAACTCATACGCAAGCCCCTAAATAGCTGTCTCAAGATGCTTGATGTTCCATTTATGGGACTGCATAACTGGAACACTTCTAATAACTTATGACCAGTAGAACGTTCATCATTATTGGGGGTTTACTCCTTATGTCTAATAAGCAGCACAATTTGGCTTACTAAGCTGGGAGCCCTTTGAAGTTCAGGGAGTGAGTACAGTATTAGGTGGACAAAGGGGGGGAGGAGGACATTGACCCTACTTCAAAGACACAAATTTGAAAGCAGGTGAAGATTACCTGCTGTAGTTTTTTGTTCTTACATTTTTGATTGGCCAACCCACACCAATCTTCCAATGTAGCTCACCACTCAGAAACTTTGGACACCCTCGGTCTAAGGCTCAGGTTCATTCCTCGATCACCAACTGGACTGTGTTGTTTGAAGAGGCTCATCTCCTTAGTGTAGTAGCCTAATACACCTTGATCACAACCTGACGTCACCTCAGCAGCGTAGGAAAAACTTTTCTTCCAGCGACTTCAAGGCGACAAATCTGAATTTTCCGGAAAGGAAACGCAGGCGAGCGAAGTTGGCCGTCTTCTCCCTTCCGGTTATTTAAATAAATTCTTAGTTTCCGTCAGAACGAAAACTATAGTCTTTCGTGTTCAGGCATGTGATTTTCACTGATACGTCCTTTATGTGCGAGAGTTTGAACCAGAGAATTTATTAGAGACCATGTATGCCTCTATTTTTTCCCCTTTGTCTTTCAACTGGCAAGTTCGGAGACGAGAAACAACGGAAAATTTCCAGAGTTCATCGAATGCGGTTTCCGTACCGACTCGCCACTGACGTCATATGTTACTTCAACTCCATTCAGTGGGGGCACTACCTACTGCCTAGGCCTTTTCCTGAGAGTCACGCATGCGGGCGGAGCTTAGTTTAGTGCAGTAAAAGCCCAGAGATCCATATGCCTCATCGTAAGTTTAATTCTAGTAGCCGTCGAATGTGCGTTGGTGACCGGTGCGAAGTTAGCCTAAAGCAGCACGGTATACCTGGAGACTGGGTTGGCACGATTCTCTCAGCTTTCTGCTATCGTATATGTTCAGTCGGTTGGGAAATGCAAATAGAATTCAATGAATGGCATGGGATGATTTGGGAACTCAGAAGCACTCGCATTCCAAAATACCCTAGCACACCTGGTTGTGCGTTCACGTTCGTCTTAATTCAATCCCCTCGCCGTCCGCAGTCTTTGGATCGTTGAAGAACGGCAACTCAAAAATGTTATGGCTAACATGGACTGCAGCATTTCTTTTCAATTCAAGAGGTTGGAAACTAACCAACCTAACTCACTCTTAAGGCCTTAACCTTTGAACGGTCTTCGTTTGTTGGTGGCAGATTGGCAAGGCAACAGTTTGTCGAATCATTTCGCACTGTAACAGTGCTGTTTTATTCAACAAGTTGCCTAGCCTCGAAGACCGAAGTGGGAGAACTTCTCATCTTGATTCAGCACTTTCACTTGCTCCACCCTCTGTATTAATATTTTTTATTTTTCCATCCATTTCTTCACATCATATTTTCTGGGAAGAGGCATATCTTGGCTTCCACAAACCTAGTTTGCAGGTTTGCAAAATTTTCCTTAGCCTACCTCAAAATAGGCAGGAATTATAAAGAGTAACAAGCACATGAATGCATATTGGGCAGGATGGCCACATAGTCTTTATCTCAAATATACAAATGTTGATCAGTTTCCACCAATCTCATCATATTTTTCTTTTGGAATTGATGTCAAAGGTGGTGGGAGATGAACAGGTTCAATCTTGCCTCAGGCCCATACAGACCTCCTCATAAAAAAGGAATAAAAATGTGAAAATTTATAGCAAGAAATATGATAGTGTTACAAAATTACATGCATTGTGGGCATGAAGTGCCACAAATGGGGAACATGCAAGGGAGAGAGAAAGCCACACTTGAGAACTGAGTCTAGCCCACTCATCTCTACAAGGGATGGGGAGCAAGCCCTAACCTTCCTTCACCCTCCACAGCAAGCTGATGGAACTCAGCCCAAATATCCAGGAACGAACACGGGATTTTTATTCTCACCCTCACATCGGGATAGAAATTCACATGAATATATCAATGCTAAGGGGTCAGTTTTCTTAGTAATAATGGAGATGTACTCCTACTGGAAAAAATACTCTCATTGGACCAATTTACTAGGGTCCATTCACTGGAAATTTGGAAGGTATGTTAAGTTTTTCAATAAAACCATCAGAATTAGAATCAGACCACAAAATGGATGAAGTCAGTCATTTAGTCAGTTCAATTTATGTAATTATATGATTATACAGTGAAAAAGATGAGCTCCAAGAGCACATCAGTTTTAAGGAGGAACAAAACAGCAATATGCATGGATATGATTTGGTGATTCCTCAAGGCCCAACTTACCATGGGAAAACCAAACACAATACTTGGAAAATGCAGCAGAGCCTTGAACCAGTAAGGATGCGCTTGTGAGAAAACAATGGAGCACACTAATGCCAGGCCTAAAGATGTTTCCTATTATGATATTATTGGCTTATTCTGTTCCTCCATTAAAATCAGTATTCACTCCATCCCCTTTATGTCAAAGATGTCTATTTGGATTACTGAATTGCATCTCCTTTGGTATCTGCTGTTGAAAGGCAATATTGCCCATCATTTTTACAGTTCCACTCCACTTCTGTTGAAAATCTTGATATTAAAAACTGGATTTGACTCAGAACTAATGAAAATATGCAGCAAAAATTTGATGGTCAAGTCACAAGATTTTGAATTGTGAGTCCAAAATGATATTGTCAAGGATTCACTGCCACAGTCTGGTGGTACCCAAGTCATGGTGGTGTATTCTCATCATCCAGAGCATTCAGCAGAAACTGAAAGAAAAAAAATCCTCATTTATTCCCTAAATGATCATATAATCTGTTACTGCACCAACAGTTAGAGTTTTTTCCTTCTTGACTTTCATATCAACAAATACTCATACTAAATTTTATATGAGGGTTACTCTGAAAGTTTCTGGATGTGGCCTTCTGATGCCTCCTCTCAGGTGGAGAATTTTCTTTCAATTAGAGAAAATCAGTATAAGCCTCTGCAAAACCTTTTAGACTTCATCATTATCTTGAATCAGTTTTATATAATAATAATAATAATACTTTTCATATCAAAGATTCTTTGAATTCAATATGAACTTGTTACATGAACACTGTGATGACTTTCTATGACTTCAAAAGTGTACTTGGCCCAAAGGAGAGTCTTGAATGCCTACAACAGGCCTTTGGGGAGGAAGCACCATCTCATAGTACAGTGTCTGAGTGATTCACAGACTTTTGGAGGGAAAGGATGTCCCTGAAAGATGAGCCTTGCTGTGGCTGGCCATCAAGTGCAGTGACAAATGAAAATGTGGCCAATGCATGAAAAATAGTTGAAGAGGATAATCGAATTACATGTGAGGACATTCAGGTACAACTTGGGGTTGAGTTAGTAGCAGTTAACAAAATCCTGCACAGACACCTTGGCCTGAGGAGAATCACCAGTCAATGGGTCTCTCCTGATCTCACCCCAAGTCAAAAGGAGGCCATGGTGGAATGGTGTGAATTCGTGCTCCAGAAGTTCAATTCTGGGTCTTAAAAAGTCATCTATGACATCATCACAGGAGGTGAATCCTGGATATATCAATTTGACCCAGAAATGAAGTGTCAATTCACTGTCTGGCTCTTTCCTTATGACCTGACCCCAACCAAAGTGAAGCAGTCCAGAAGTATAGGAAGACAAATGATGGCTAGTTTTTTCTCTTTCACTGGTCACATAGCCACCATACCTTTTCAGGGTCAAAAGATAATGACTTCAAAATGGTACACAGAATCCTGTCTCCTAAAGGAGTTCAGAACCAGAAGAATCAGAATCAGAGGCCCAAGTCACCCTTGAAATCATGGATGTTCCATTATGACAATGCATCCAGTCACAGAGCTGCCCTCACCTCAGATTTCCTATAGGAGTCTGGTATTAGGGTACTCCCACACCCACCCTACAGTCCAAACCTAGCCCTATGTGACTTCTTTCTCTTTACAAGAATTGAAAAATTGCTTCATGGATGGTGTTTTCAGTCTCCAGAAGAAACAGTATCTGAATTTATTTTAGTAATTTTGGGCATCCCAGCATCTGAGTGGGAAAAAAGATTTGAGAAATGGTTCTCAAGGACGAGAAAGTGCATTAACCCTTTGAGGTCCTAACCCAGACTGAGTCTGGTTTTTTAAATTTCCCACTGTGTCAATCAATGTTCTGTACCAGAAAGAAGTTTTGGATATATATTATAGCTGTAAAAAGCAAGTGTTGTGTATTGCCTGTAATCGCACCATTTTCCTGCAAAATTAACTGGACCTGGGGGAGAACACATGGTAAAAAAAATTGGACCCCAAAAGGGTTAATTCTCAGGGAGAATACTTTAAAAAAAAGTGTAATGATTGAATAATGCCCAGCTGTTTTTCATTGTCCATACCTGGAAAATTTCAGAATCTCACCCTCGTATAGGTTACTTCAACAATTTCATAGCAAAATCTTACATGTGGGCAAAGTTTTTGATTTGGGGCACATCAGCACTTCAGGTAGGCCTATAGAAATTGATTGGCTTACTTGACCAGACGTGTTTTCATCCGGTAGTTCCAAGTTCTTAGGTTTAGCATTCTTCAAAAACTGCTCATTCATGTTCCCTGAACCACCTGAAAAGAAAATACGAAGACCTATATGGTATTGGATCACCCTTAAGAAAATCAATAATAATCAAAGGGAAAGGAATGGTCCCAATAAGGACAATTTCCCACCCATTATTGATTTTACTGAGACTCTACAGTGATGAAAAAGGGCCTCGAAAATAATTAGGACAGGAAGAATAATCGAGGAGTTTTTAATGCAATTGTAATGGTTACATTGGGCCCTTTGAACTGAGTAAGAATGCGGAAATTTGAGTTAGGACTATACTACATCAAATCCAACTTTCACCTGTGCATTCAATTTCTCAGTGTAAGGGGCCCACCATTACCATTAGGTTGTGCTGTTAATGGAAATTTGATTTTTTTAATTTGCATGTATATAGAATTTTCAGAGTAAAGTGGAGCAAATAAAAGTGAGAGATACATCTTCCTTGATTGATTCTTGTGTAGAACTTTGCCATATCCTAAATGAATTTTCCTATTTCAACTGCATTTTTTTCACATAAAAGAGTCTATTCTTGTTGAATGAGTGAAGCAGAAGATTCTACTGACTTAAGGGAGAGCTTTAGGAATGTGTCATACTGTTGAAGCCAATCCTTCCTGTAAAGTTTCAGCCAGCACTCTAGGCTAGGCCTACCTAGGTTTTACTTCTGTTTAAAGGCAAAAGTCACAAGCAAGAAAACAATGGCCTTATTGGGACATATCCTACCAAATGTTTGACATGGATTAAACACAAATGACACTGTAAAAAGAAAAAGTCCTACAACAATCTCAGGACAAATTTCATGAGACCATTTGAGGACAGAAAGCATGCCCTCCTTGATCCCATTAACCATGGGTTGTAACAAAGATGGACCAAAAGTAAAATTCTGAATGAGATTCTGTGTATTGACCAGGTGTTTTGGTAGGTCTGTCAACTGGTGTCCATTCCACTTCAAGGGATGGTGATCTGGGTTGTATTTCCATGAGCATGCGATTCTTTGACTTAGCCACCTCCATCACCTATGAGAGAAAAAAATAGCTGCAAAATTCGAGCTTAAGCCAGGCAGACTTAAGCCTATGGGATGCCCAAGATCCATGGGTTTCNAGAAACTTTCAGAGTAACCCTCATATAAAATTTAGTATGAGTATTTGTTGATATGAAAGTCAAGAAGGAAAAAACTCTAACTGTTGGTGCAGTAACAGATTATATGATCATTTAGGGAATAAATGAGGATTTTTTTTCTTTCAGTTTCTGCTGAATGCTCTGGATGATGAGAATACACCACCATGACTTGGGTACCACCAGACTGTGGCAGTGAATCCTTGACAATATCATTTTGGACTCACAATTCAAAATCTTGTGACTTGACCATCAAATTTTTGCTGCATATTTTCATTAGTTCTGAGTCAAATCCAGTTTTTAATATCAAGATTTTCAACAGAAGTGGAGTGGAACTGTAAAAATGATGGGCAATATTGCCTTTCAACAGCAGATACCAAAGGAGATGCAATTCAGTAATCCAAATAGAGATCTTTGACATAAAGGGGATGGAGTGAATACTGATTTTAATGGAGGAACAGAATAAGCCAATAATATCATAATAGGAAACATCTTTAGGCCTGGCATTAGTGTGCTCCATTGTTTTCTCACAAGCGCATCCTTACTGGTTCAAGGCTCTGCTGCATTTTCCAAGTATTGTGTTTGATTTTCCCATGGTAAGTTGGGCCTTGAGGAATCACCAAATCATATCCATGCATATTGCTGTTTTGTTCCTCCTTAAAACTGATGTGCTCTTGGAGCTCATCTTTTTCACTGTATAATCATATAATTACATAAATTGAACTGACTAAATGACTGACTTCATCCATTTTGTGGTCTGATTCTAATTCTGATGGTTTTATTGAAAATCTTAACATACCTTCCAAATTTCCAGTGAATGGACCCTAGTAAATTGGTCCAATGAGAGTATTTTTTCCAGTAGGAGTACATCTCCATTATTACTAAGAAAACTGACCCCTTAGCATTGATATATTCATGTGAATTTCTATCTAGATGTGAGGGTGAGAATAAAAATCCTGTGTTCGTTCCTGGATATTTGGGCTGAGTTCCATCAGCTTGCTGTGGAGGGTGAAGGAAGGTTAGGGCTTGCTCCCCATCCCTTGTAGAGATGAGTGGGCTGGACTCAGTTCTCAAGTGTGGCTTTCTCTCTCCCTTGCATGTTCCCCATTTGTGGCACTTCATGCCCACAATGCATGTAATTTTGTAACACTATCATATTTCTTGCTATAAATTTTCACATTTTTATTCCTTTTTTTATGAGGAGGTCTGCATGGGCCTGAGGCAAGATTGAACCTGTTCATCTCCCACCACCTTTGACATCAATTCCAAAAGAAAAATATGATGAGATTGGTGGAAACTGATCAACATTTGTATATTTTAGATAAAGACTATGTGGCCATCCTGCCCAATATGCATTCATGTGCTTGTTACTCTTTATAATTCCTGCCTATTTTGAGGCAGGCTAAGGAAAATTTTGCAAACCTGCAAACTAGGTTTGTGGAAGCCAAGATATGCCTCTTCCCAGAAAATATGATGTGAAGAAATGGGTGGAAAAATAAAAAATATTAATACAGAGGGTGGAGCAAGGGAAAGTGCTGAGTCAAGATGAGTTGTGAGTTCAATTAAACCAATTTTTTGTCTTTCATTCAAACCATCCTTTAGAAAGGAGTTTGCCAATAGCTTTTATGACTGGTGATTAGCAATTCATAGTACTGAATATTAATGAAGATAATTACCATTCCTAAAACACTTTTGCAATTTGGACTCCCCTTTAGATAGGAGAAATATAGAATTTTGTGATTGGTAACAGTGTCTTGCAATAGTGAATGGGAATAGTGATTCTCAATCTTGCTTATGTAATAAGGAATTGCCTGAATGCAAGACCTAAAATAGGTCTAACTCAAATTTTAACCTGTGCACACTTTATCTCAGCACAAGTTACTCATCTTTGCTTCCAGGGCTGAGGTTTCTTGAAGTTTTGGCAATTGAAAAAAAAAATTTTTCCCTGCACACTGAGTTTGCTAAATAAAGTACTGTTCTAAGACCAATTTTTTTCTTAGTCAACTTACACTAATATGCATTGAATATTTGAGGAACAGTTAATTTCAAGGTCTAACAATTCTGAGACCCCATCTTTTCCACACCAACTGTTGGCACTAGTTTGTGAATGCTCATGAAGGTGGTTTTTAGAGACATTCTTCCTGGGAGTGATGTGAGTTCTTGGGTGACTTCTTTGAAGAGCTTCTTGAAATAGCTAATTTCTTATTGACCAATTCAAATGAAATTTTTTTTATGGCATTGACAGCTATACCTTTGATGCAATGAGTGATTTCTGTAAGAGGAATGTCCAAAAAATGTCCCATTAATGCCTGCTCTGTTCTTCGACTGTGGATATTTTTCACTGTGAATCTCTTAGAATTCTTAACACATTGAGGAATGCCCACGTAGATTTATGCTGTGGGAGAACTTCACTATTTCTGAATGCGCTTTGACCTGACCAAACTTATAATGTATTCCACACACCATGAAGTTGATTTTAATTTGCAAGTTATGCATATTCTTGTAAAGTTGTAAAAAATATTTTTTCTAAAAATCTCCTGTTCCCAGCAGTTGGACAAGTGTCAGGTACCTGGTCCTCAATGTGTTAGCATCCTAAAAGGATTTTTTTGCAAATGCAAATGTACCAGTAGTATAGCTGAATGTATGAAGTGAATTTCATTGAAGTCTATGATGCATTTTAGCTAAATGAGGTAAAATATAATCCTTATTTTAGCATTAATTGTCATATATTACAATAACACCAACATGCATGGTATTCCTGAGAAGGGCGAAAAGATACCTTTAAAAAGAGCTATGAACCATTTCCTTAGCTCAAGTAGAAGTTACAGAAATAAAGGACAAGGGTGCTGTCAGAACCAAGCAGAAATTTTTTTATGACCCCTTATCAGATCAAAGGTGACGGCAAAAATATTTGGGGGGTCATAAATTCTTAATTGTACACTAATCAAAATGGGAGAAATCATGTGTATTTTGAGGGGAAGGGGGGGATTAGGGTCGTTGATTTGACATCAAATCAATCGAATGGGATTTTCTATTCATAACAGAGGAAAATTGATATTAGGTCATTTTCTGCCATAGAGAGACAGCAGTATGACTTGGATTTCCTCAATACGATTGAAGCCTCGACTGTGAAGCCTGCTACCGCATTCATTGTAGACTACAGAGAACGGGAATTCATCACGAATCTACGGCCTTATTTTGTGTCGTCGAGAGGCTGAACCTCGATCTAGCGGTTCCAATCACGCGATTCTATGTCTTCTTGAATATGCTTTGTGGAGCACGATCCTATGCCTTTATCGTTACAGGTCTATCAATACTCGTATTGTGCTTTATCACGCGAGTTAATTAGATAATATCAGTCTGAAACGATTTTTGAAGGAGTCATTGACTGCAGAAAGAAGGCGAGGAAGCGAATGGAATCGAAATGAGACAAGTCTCGCGCTGAGATGGTTACAGCCGGCCGAGTTTATGTGGTATATGCCACCATTTCTCACGCTAAAGAGCAGAAGTTTATTAGTGACTCCATCTTATTTCCCTCTTAGTCCCTTTCCATCCTTCCGCACTTGTGCAGAGTAATGGCATACAGAATAAAAGAAAGTAGTGCCATTCAGACACTGAAAAACATTTGCAGACGGGGCACTCCTCCCACATTGAAAGGGTCAGATGAATGACTCACTTGGTAATGAGCTCGGCTCCCAAGCCTGGGTTCGAAGCCAACTACCACAGGCGTTTGTCTTCTCGTGGGTGCTAGGACAGTTAATTCCCACTTTGGTCTTCGAGGCTAGGCAACTTGTTGAATAAAACAGCACTGTTACAGTGCGAAATGATTCGACAAACTGTTGCCTTGCCAATCTGCCACCAACAAACGAAGACCGTTCAAAGGTTAAGGCCTTAAGAGTGAGTTAGGTTGGTTAGTTTCCAACCTCTTGAATTGAAAAGAAATGCTGCAGTCCATGTTAGCCATAACATTTTTGAGTTGCCGTTCTTCAACGATCCAAAGACTGGGGACGGCGAGGGGATTGAATTAAGACGAACGTGAACGCTTGAGAGCACAACCAGGTGTGCTAGGGTATTTTGGAATGCGAGTGCTTCTGAGTTCCCAAATCACGAGACGTATACGCAGCACCAAATCTCGTAGCATCAAAACCACGTAGTGCCAAAAACTCGCAGCATCAAAAACACGTAGCATCAAAAACAGACAGGGTCGAAAACACGTAGGGTCGAAAGAAATCACCAAATTTGCTGTGATTTGCTCTCGATCACGTAGGACAGAATCTTGTAGCACCAAATCATGTAAGATCAAACATCAAAAGTAACCAAAATTCATGTAGTCTCGAAAACGCGTTGCACCAACGACTCATAGCATCGAAAACGCGTAGCACCAAAGACACGTAGCATAAAAAACACGTAGCATCAAAAACACGTAGCATAGAAAACACGTAGCACCAAAACACGTAGAAACAAATCATGTGACGTCGAATTTAAAGTGCTCCAAAATCCCTAGGGAGAGGGGGTGACGGTCCAGGGGCGGATACGGAAATTTTTCATAGGTGGGGAGGGGCGGTTCCCAAGTTCCTACCCCCCACCCGCGCCTACCACCATTCCTCGTCCTTTCGCCTTTTTTATTTTTCGTTCGGGGGTAAAACTAGAGTGCCTATTTTATTGGTTCCAATAAAGTTTAATGCAGATGCTATTTTTGAATAAATAAATCAAATGCTAACCTGACCATAGGGGGGGCGGTCACCCTCCCCCCCCCCCCCCCCCTGTATCCGCCCCTGTGACGGTCACAGCACCCACAATGCCAGGAGCCGTTTGTGCCACGTCTGCCATCTAGGTTTTCGTTCTGAATTTACAAAGCGCAACAATGATCAATAGGCGATGAGTGATCTCTCTTTGGCAAAGGGAGTAATACATAGCTATTTACAAAAATGTCCCATTAGCTGTATAGAATGAACGCCGATTGATCGTGCTTAATGGACGTTCTGGTCCATCTCTCTGGAATCGATAATTCACCTTCATCTGGATTATCGAGAAAATAATGAGTACTTCTCGAATCGCTTCGCCAGTCCCTCATCCAAATTACACTTGAGGTAATAGAATAAGAAGCTTTATAAAATTACTCACAAAGGTGAGTCACTACACTAGTAACACATATTATTGGCATGGACCCTTATTGATGTATGCTCTTCAGCTTGGTATCGGTACTCTATCTTGACTCAATATTTGACACCTAAAATTGGGCAATATTCAAGTTCAACATAAAAATGTTATATAGGTCGAATGTGTGTCATCACAAGCAATCCAATATTGGGAGTGTCCGAATGGTCCAATGATTGCGCAATCATCGCCCAAAATTTTCTTAGTGCTTTCGTTCGTTCTATCACGTTTAGAGCAATTAACACTGCTGTCCCGTACAGCTAGTTTCATATGCATTGGTCTTTTTTCACATATCTAAACGTCCAGGAAGCATAATCACTCATGATCCAGCGAATGGTCGCGACGACGGCAGAAGGAGAGCAACTTCATCCAAGGTATCAGCCTTGCAGCGGTAATACTGTAGCTATGCTAGAGATATCTATTGATTATACTCTGATAACTTAGCCTAAAAAATTACTCTAACATGTTTTTTTTTTACCCTTAGGCAAAGGCTCCAGAAGACATGACAAGAGGGAGTTTTACTGGATGATCCACGTAAAGGTACCTAGACAAGTTATCGTCGAGACGAGAGCGAAACGTCGATGAGATTCTATGAAGGACCAATTTGGGAAAAGGAATTGTTTCGGACAGAGTTCTTGAGCATAACATATCCTTCTCTGCAAAGTTTGTGATTCGCAGATTATAGGTATGAACGTATCATTGACACGTATGAAAAATTGACAAATGTGGAATGTGAGGATGTGGTAAATCAGAACGAGACCGGGATTATGAACACAATTGAGGTGTGTTATTGGTGTGGGCAGAAAAATTGGCTCTTACGAGGATCCGGAATCCAGATTAGAAATTATATCGCGCAAGAGACATCCTAATAGCATTCAGCCTGACAGCGTATGGAATGTAATGGGTGTGTGTCTTCAAACAAGTGCATTCGTTTCCTCTTCATTCCGTTCCGATTCACATTAAATCAGTCCGATATAGGCACATCTGACGACTTCTTCATGCAAAGCAGATCAGGGGCAGCATTATGTTTCTATCGTGCTTTTCTGGTCTACCTGGTAGCGAGTAATCTAGCTTCATGAAATTACGGAAATAAACAGCTGTGGTGGATGATATTGAATTCCTTATCTTCAGTAGCCTCTGCGCTCTTCTCTGCTCTCCACAACCTCCCAATTCAGCTTACTGAATTTGGAGGTCATGATGGTCCTGTCATCTTTCATGGGCAGAGGAACTCGATGGAGGACCACATTTATTTTCTTGAAGAATTCGTCCAGCAACCGACTACACAGCAATACTGGAGCCGTATTCATGAAAACTTCTTAAGAATGCGATATTCTTACGAAGTTCGTATCTTTGATATTCACGAAACTTCGCAAGTCTTTATCTCATTCGTATGAATACTGTTGGCTTTCATGAAACTCCGTAGCAATGATAATGAACCAGCTAAGCATAACCGACCTTGGGAGCTGGCAAACCAATCGCAGAGTGGAACGCAGGGTACTCACATGACTCACGAGTTCAGTGGTCGACCACCAAATGAGTGAAGAAATAGGGGTTCTCATTGAAGAAATCGAGCAGAGGTCTTGCTGGGGAAATTCAGCTCAAGCATTACGGGAAAAATGAAATTGCAAGAATAGGATTTAGAGGCTGAGGCTGTGAGCTGTATCTCCTCTGTGTGGAGAACTGCCGAAGAACTAAAATATTATTTCATGAACTTGAAGTCAAGTGCAAAGCAAAAGGAGTTCAGTTTGTTAGGGAGACTAGCAGGACTGGCGGTGGATCACTATCTTCCTTTCCCACTGCCCGATCTATATTAAAAGATTTTAACGATAATTGAAGTAAAAAAAAGAGAGCGTTGTGGGAGAATTATCGTATTCATTTTCTGGCACTTAATGAATGTGAATGGACCTCATGACCTCCAAGGCGAAATCTTGCGAATCCTGTGTGCATATGTCCTGTTAGCCTCCCAGTGCGAATGAACCTTTGCTTAATTGAGACACCAAATTAAAGAAAGTTCCAGACTTCCTCGGTATCATTATTCTGGGTTCTTACGATACCCTGGGTTCATTCGTAGACTTACGAAGAAAGTTACGAACTTTTGCACTTTCGTGAATACCGAAGTTGTGCAGCTTCTTACGAACTGCGTATGAATATCGTACAAAGATCTTACGCAAAAAAGTTTTATGAATTCCACTAACAAACTTTTCTTATGAAGAAAAAAGTTCGTAAGAATGTTTCATGAATAAGATTCCTGTTCTCTTTCGTCCCCTTCCCATTATAATATTTAAAATATAAAATATAAAATAAGATACCATCAGCGCAACCAAAAGAAAAATTAGCAGAGTCCACCATCCTCTTTACAGTAATTATTTCATTCCATAGATACGATGATATTCCACAGATGCCAAGATTTTCCTCTCCACTGATAGAGAAACCCATATATTTATTGAACAGAAAGATACCCTGCTGAAAAAAAACCTCATGCGAATCTCAATAGGAATCCTCATGAGATTTTCGGACAGAGGTCTCATGAGAATGACCTCATGAGGTTGACTTCATGGGATTTTCACATAGAGGCCTCGTGGCCCAATAGCTACGGAAAGTCTCTTGGGACTCAGCTTGCAAGGTCCCGTGAGTCCTTAAAAGAGACGTAATCTTAATAATCATACTATAGTCTGTATAGTCTTTAGCCTTTTTAATTTTTCGTCTGTGGAGTATCTATTTCATTGGCTTCAACAAAATTTAATGCAGATGCTATTTTGAATAAACAAATCAAACGCTAACCTGGCCATAGGGTCATATATATATAGGTCACCTCCCCCCCCCCCGTATCCACCACTGATCTATGGAGAGGGCAGGAGAGGACACTACCCTAATTGATATCCAACCTAGCATAAGCACGAGTGCCAGGACTGGATCGATAATGGTCGTCAGTATCTGACACATGAGGCTGAGGAGCTTCACAGGCCTACCGTCCTCGGAGCAATAGAACA